CGGTGACTTCAAAGCCACCGAGGTATTCTCACAGTAATTGCTGGCAATCGGGAATGCAACGGTGCACGCTGATCCGACTACAAGAATGATTTGCCTACGTCTTGGCCTCGGAAATTTAGTGTCCTCAAAAGAGGAATTGGTTGAGACGGTGTCTGCCACTATTCAGACCGCTTTCAACAATCCCGGCTGATTGAGCGAACGAGCGCTTCTTGCGGCCAAAAACAAACACATGTACCATCTTAGCCACATTATTCAGTCCAAGATTCAAAGCGGGGCAGTCACATACCCGTCCGTCGACACTGTTGTGAAAGCAGACGGGGCAGGTTAATTATCGAACAGAGCCACAGCAACGCGTGGCGGGGTCCAGCTAGTTTGTAATATTAAATATTGACTTTATTCATTAAATGCCATTTAGAATCGGAACGCGTATAGAGTAATCCCTCGTTGTATCGCGTCCCGAATTTCTCAGCTTCACTCTGTCGCGGATTTTACATGGAGGCATATTTACATATATATCGATATATCATGCGAATAATTTCAGAAATTATTCACTGCAGGACATAGAGTTCAGTCTCGGGGACATTACTTTTAATGGTCAGACCCGAAATTTCAATGAAAATTTGAGTCGAAGACAATCAACTTTTGTGGAATAACCACGTAATGTCCATTCTACAAACAAGCAGTACCACTAGTGGTATGAAATGTATATGGCATACGTATTATACCGTACTCCCGACATAGGTACTAACCAGAAGCCCAGACACGTGTTTCGCCGACATTCTGCGGCTGCTTGAGGGAGCTGCGAGGGTTTCAGCTCTTCAGGGGGTCCCCCAGCGTTCCCTATGCGTTTTCTGTTTTATGAACTCCAGAGAATAATCAAGTGAATACCATATATATTTTCCGGGCGACCGGGAGGACGCGGTCAGGGTCGTCCGGATCAGGGATGCTGTCCGAGAGGAACAGGCGGACACTTTAGAAGGGCGCAAATGCGCTGACACCATACTCCCTCCTACTCCATCCCATCCACCCCAGCCGTTTCCGGCGATGTCCATCGTGTGCTCAACAGCAAGGCGGAGCAGGGACGGTGACATGTTCGTGAATTAGTTTATGGTGGTTTCAGACTTGCGCGACATCTACCACACTCCCTCTTCCCGTTGCCCACCTAGACTCAGAGTCCAGACAGAGTCAAGAAGACCGGAGAGGGGAGGCAGGTGGCCGGCACGGTCGAAGCCGCACCTAGGCGTGCCGCCACACCCGGCTCGGGTCCCATGCAGTGGGAGTGCCATAAAGACCACATTAAAAAGGAGCCATTGCAGCCTGGCACTTGGACCACCAGCCGGCCTCTCCACACAAACACACAACACTGGACCGACTGCGAGGTCCAAGTTATCTCGTCAGTTGGAAACCTTCGAAGCCACGGCTTTTAGCGTACCGTGGTAGTTTCAAGCACGTCAATTTGTTTATAGTGAGGAAAATGAGCTGCGTCGTCGACCGCACTCTCAATTCCCATTCCCAGGCCCCAACCACTGTCCGAGCTGGCCAGCAGACTGGAGTGGGGAATGGGCGCGGTGGTTGACATATCTATTAGCCTTGTCTGCGCGTGCCACATACACGACCTGGCCCCCCAAACACAAGCACCAGGATTTCACACAACGGGGTTTCAGCGGCGTACATTTCACCTGCGCGAGAGTGCCGTTGGTCACGTTAAGAAGTAGCTGTCTCATCCTGGCTCTTAGCACACCAGTCCGCCACTCCACACAAACACAACTAGACGGACTGCGTAGATTGAGTTGGGGCGTCAGTCAGCAGCTTTCAAAACCACGACGATTGACGTGCCGTGATAGTCTCAGATTCGAGCCACACATGTAGCTGGGGAGCCGCATGGAGACGGAGTCAAGACGCTCACTTCCCACTGGCGGAGGAGATGGCATTTGGGTGCTTGTGGTGGGTGATGATGATGATGATGATGATGATGATGATGATGATGATGATGATGATGATGATGATGATGATGATGATGATGATGATGATGATGTACGACGAGGTGCTGGCGAGGGAGGATGTGATGGTGTGGCGCAGCTGGCGATTGTCTAACGCAAGTTTTCACGGACGCACATGTGGCCTTATAGACCCGTGCGGTGCATGAATGTGTGAGTGCAATGTTGACAGTGGAGGCGGATGCGACGAGTATAGTTTGGTGCTCCAGGCACTGGTTCGCCAGTCTCTGTTCGATGGATCCGCAAGGGTTCGACCAGGCCGAGATGTGAGATGAAAGTGCGGTCGCAATGAGGACAAGTGTAGACCAGGTCCACACCACTAGTGTCGACAGTGGTGGTGTTGGTGTTTGTTGGTGTGTCCGGATTGTATGAAATTTTGACGTGCGTGGCAGACGCCACAACGGCAGACGTGAAGGCAATGGATGATGGTGATGATGACGACGATGATGATGATGATGATGGTAGTGGTGGTTCAGGAGAGCGGTCATAGTTAGCTGACGGCGTAGGATGCGACAGAGAGGTGGATGGAGAGACGACAGTTGGTGAAACCCGCGTGCTGTAGTTGGTCCGAAGGTGCCCGACAAGTCCTATTGGTGTCCGCAATGCCCGGTAACACCGTGGACACGTTGGGGACAGTTGGGCGTTGGCGTTGCGAGGTGGGCGCAGCTGAGACTTGCGTGCATATCGTTTGGTTTTCGTGGCGGCGATGCAGTTTATCATGTGTATAGTAGCGCCTGTCTTCACTTCTCTATTCCATGCCGGTCAGTTTTGGACGAGTTCTTCCCAGTTGGTCGGGCTGATCTGCAGGTGCTCTAAGGAAGTCTTCAGAGTATCCTTGTAGCCCCGGATTTGACTTCCTTGTCGGCGGGAACCCTTGACGATATCTCCATAGAAGACCCTTTGGAGTAGCCGCTCGTCGTCCATCCACACGAGGCGGCCGCCCCATCGCAGTTGCAGATGTCTCAGCAATAGCATAGGTCGCCAGGGAGGAGGAGGAGGAGGAAAAGGAGGAGGAGGAGGAGGAGGAGGAAGAGGAGGAGGGTTGTTTCGACCGTGAGTTTAACGTCTGCGACCACGCTCAGCCTGCAGACGACGTGGTTCCCCACATTTTTAGGGCTCTTGTTCTAGCTCCTTACCCCTCGCGGACATGAGCAGTGCCATCCTTAAATAGGTCTGTTCAGTTTTGTCAGGCGCTGCCGAACTCCGTTATGGGCCACGTCCTTGTTTAGTGGAAGAACGACCCGAGTTGGCCTGGGACATTGCCGTAAGATTGTGGCCTCCTGCGGTGTGCCAGACGGAGCCTCGTCTCGACGATGACGATGCGAAGATCCATCCTGCCAGCGGACTCCACGTTACCATGTTCGCAGACGCACACACGGATACCCTCATCTGGTTATACCCGCCGGTCGAGGCGGTTACTGGGGTGTGGCCGCTAGACAGAGCCTAGCTTTGAGGAGCCACATGTGAGGATTGGGCGCAAGCAAATGGACACTGGGCGTAGTCTGCATCTGCAAGCAAGTGACAGACCTATTACGACCGTCACGTGAACCCACGGCTGGACACTTCTACACCAACGCCACTGACATTAGCACTACACTTGCGGTCGTCGAGTCCATTTTTCCGGCGGCCTTTTCACTCACATGGTTTAGCAATGCACTTTCCTTAGGACTAGACCGGGGGCTACTGTAGCTACCCCGCTCTCACGGTTGTCAGCCCAGCCGTATACCCATGCCACCCTCGGGTCGGCCCAGCATGTCTGTCGGGCCCTGAGTGCGCGCGTGTGGCTAAGCCTTCGGCTCATTGACGCCGATCGATACCTTCGGCTTCATCAATCAGCCGTGTCGTATAAAGCTCAGGCGCACACTTCGCGCTATTTAGTTAATTGCCCATCGCTACTAGTAGTAGGTAAACTTCTTTAGTCGTAGCCCTAAAGTCGGATTTGTTCATCGACCCCCCCTTGCGTACGAATATTGACAAATCAAAATACTGTGTGACTTTCCCGGGGAACATAAATGACCAATGTATGGTGGTTTGAATTGCGCCAATATACCACAGTCCGCTAGGTAATTATATTACAACAGTTGCGCTTTTCCTCTGGTTGTCTGATGTCTTATTAGTAAACTTAATGATATACGACTGCCTCAGAGAGCACTTAGTAGACTTCTTCCTTTATCCCCAGACCTAATTTTCAATTTTGTTTGGCATGTACAGCTGTACCTCTGCCAGCTCCACATCCCTTGACATTTGTTATCTATCATCTTCCGTAGCTTATATTCGTGTTCAGGCTGGATAACTATGACTTCGTGTACGTTAATTAAATCTTCACCCCTCAAAGTACCGTCTAGAATACTTCTATACAGGCAGTCGACAGCTGTTCACTACATCGCCTTAGATTAGTTCAGCGTGCACTGAGTCAATCAAAAAATAATGAAAGGCGGTAGGATGCATAGCAAGCAGATCATTCCACCCTGTCCTATTATGGGTAAATGACACTAAATCGTTGCATACAACAACCTTCAGTAGCCAGTCAGGGCCCTTCTCGTTGAGCAAGAACGTGACCCCCCTATTAACCCTTTTAAAAGCCTTTATCAGTCGTATGCCCACAGTTTATGCCGACATTTGAGTGTTTTATCCGGTTCCGTTTGAGTGCCTGGTATGCGGGTATTTCCGGTTGTGTCGATAATACTGGTCTGTGAATAATGGTTGTGATCTGTGACAGGCGGAGTCAAGCAGGAGAACCAAAGCGACCAATGAGATAGTTGTGAAAGGTTCCGCATTTCCCAATCAGACCAGTCCAGGCTCCGGAAATGGTGTGTGAAACTGTTCATACATCGGCGGGGCTAGATCAGAGCCCGACAGAGGTTATCAGGAATGTGCACCCATAACAAGTGCAAACATTGGGCGTGTGGCGGTAGGCCTAGTTGTACCGTACCAAGTGGGATCCGTCCCGACCCCAGCCCTTTTCTCTTGTGTAAAATCCTGGTCAGTGTACGTTCTGGGCCACGAGATGCGGGTTTCCACTAGGCCAGCCACCTGCACCCCTCTCCGTCCTTTTAACACCGGACCGAAGTGAGGGAGGAGGAGAGGGCGTGGTAGATGCTGCGCAAGTCTACTATCACCTTAAACTAACTCCCGCGCAAGTCACTGTCCACGCTCTCACCCTGCTGTGGAGCGCACTGTGGATATCGTCGGTCGCGACGGTCGAATTGTCATGCCGCGCTATATCGGCGGGGAACAGAAAACATCTTGGACGCATTAGCAGACAGTTGAGGTACGAGCGCAAGTAGAGGTGTCTGCAGGACATCCCGTCAACCGTGCCGCTCATTAAACAACTCCCCTACAAGAAACCCAGGGTTCGCACGTATCAGGGGGTAATCACCACACCATGACACCGAAGGCGACGTAGGGAACGCTCTGGCAGAAACCACGCCGTTTATTTGAGGAATCTTGGCTGCCGGGCAGCCAGTCTGCTGTACGGACAGCAGACCCATACCGCATTGAAGACTGTGCATTGCCGCATCCTCGGCACCAGGGTCGAGGAACGTCCAAAAATCCCAGTACCCGATGCCATGGAGGCTTGCGCCCTTTTAACTCATTCAGCCGTCTCGGTCCTGGTCTACGACAAAAGTACAGGTAGCGTTGGTTGCGCAGGCTCGAAAGCATGAACTGCAGCATCTTCTGCGGTAAGTTTCCCGCGCCATACGGGACGTTTGCTGTAGGTGGGCCATAAACAGCCATCCGGTCCGTCAGGTCGGGACTGCCTCCTCTGACGCTTCGACATATCCGCTCACGGTTGGGTGTCAGACTCACCTAACAAATGGTGGCCCGGGATCGCCGTTACAAGAACGTTGTCAGACGTAGATGAATTGTCAATATATGAACGTTCCGGAAAGCAGATAAGGAGATTCGATCGGCGGAACAACAGTATTATTCTTCTGGCGTTTCAGATTCACGATCGAGCCCGTTATCAGCGGTAGCACCATACACAAGTAGCAGGTGCGCCGTGGGCTACAGTCCTTATGGCATCACATACGAAAGTTGCCAGATCCCGAACTCTTCGCAAGTGATTGTGGCTGGTATGACGATAGCTTGGTCGGTCGCATTTTGGCCGAGATTTCATCACCAGTGATGACCATTTGCAAGAAGTACTCAGCAAGCTGGCTCAGCGATTCTGGCGCTGCGAAGTGTTCACTCGTGCGCCAACTACCGCTGCTTTGGCTGCCTCTGTTTAATCGCTTCCAGCGTGGACCCCCAGATACCAAGCAAATAAGATAGTTATTTCAGTGGCAGATCTTTAATTTGTGGAAATTTACGAATGTTACTGTACGACGGTCGGTGTGTTAAACCCTCAGCGCTCGGGTATCGCCATGCTTAATTGGCGACTGCTGGTTTGCCAGAATCAGGTATCCCCTCATGCTCGCCAGAGGCTTCCATCGTCACCCTACTCACTACACTGTCCTTATTTAGGTCGCGAACTCGCGACGGCGACCTAACTTCGTCGTAAGCAACCACACCACTCAGTTCACGGAAGTGGTGCTTTTTGCGTTGCCGCCCCGGCAAGTTTTGATGCTCTAGTCCCACGCACTGACAATGGTGGTCAGTACGAAGCATGGGTCATCAGACACCCTAACGGACGCCGTCTTCATGATCATCCAACGTCCTACATTGATCAGGGCCCTTTGTGTTATCTAAAATTTACCAGATTTCCCAAGCGGACACTTGGCCTACGACAGCGTCATTTTCTTTTACCAGAAATGACCTATTTGACGGTCGCACTTTTGCCGTCAGACTCTTAAATGTCAAGCTGGAAAATTCCTCTGTTCGATGGATAAGAATGAAAGATATCGCTTTCAGACCGCATTCCTTTTACCAGACAAAACGGAGTGACAGTCATACTAAAGAGGGCTTTCGGTGGAACCAGTCGACACATAAGTCTACCAATTTCTTAGGCCCTACACCCATCCGTGAAGATCAATCTGCTCGTCAAAATCGCGAGTTCCATCGCCCTGAGAACCAAGAGCACGCCCGAGGGCCCAGGAACCTTCCCCAAGTGGAAAAAAGTCTCAATTCCTTCGCCGGACGATACATTAGAAACGGAAAATGCTTCAAAATGAGAACAAAAAATCATGCTGATTTACAGTTTACATTTCACAAACAACTTAAGATTTACAGTTTTAACTTGCATAAAATTTGTATTTTCCAATGCTAAGAACCAATGACATTAGAAAACTGGGCTGTTTGCGTGGAGGCGAGAGGATAAGCTGCCAAATATGGAATTGAAAACTGGAACCATCAATATTTTCTGGGAAAATATAAAAACGGAACAGTATCAAGCATCTTGTCGGCGGGTGAGAAGAGAACTTGGAGCTCCTTGACTTCACTCCAGAAGAGAATATGAGGTAAAACAACTTGCTGCAGACCAGCTTGGGATAGGAGAGGTCGACAAGCAGATTATCTAAAAAAGAAAAAAATTCCAAGGGGACTGGGGTGATAAACTGGCAGGCGATGGTCAGTGATAACTGAAGTACACACGTGTATATAGTCCAGGAAAGGAACATAAGGTGAATGTACCACAGAGGCACAGTGCCTCCATCGAGATAATTTAGGATCAGTTGCCCTGAAAGGTTGTTCGGACGTCAAAACACCGTGCCAACAGAAGTGGTGGTTATTAGAGCATGAACAGCCCTGATGTATCGCAGAAAGGAATCTGAGACCGCAATGTGGATCTCGACGGGCGGCCTATACATTTCTTTCGGCAGTACCGCTGGTTTACCTTCAGTGTCATGCGCTTTAGCTACTGAGAATGCAGTTTGACTCACAATTGACGTCTGCTCATATTCCAAATGATCGCCAGCCAAGACGGCCTATATGTCGTCTTGGGGACGGCTGCAAGTTCACCAATCGATATTGTTGGCGGGTAGAAAGGGCCCTAATAAGCTATCAAATAGTAGGAAGCCCCGTTGTCAAAAGGATAAATGGTGGTAAACGGCTCCATCGAAGACTTGAGGACAGCTTTTTGTACAGGGCCTCAGGCTACACTGCCCAATGCTTGTAAATTACGGAATAGTAATCAGTGGCGGTCAGCAAGTGGCCACGGAGAAGACTCTAGCATCGGGTTAGTCGTCCAGCCGCAAACAGACGGGGCCGCATCGGGACTCTGGCTGAGTCAGCAATGGAAATTGGCTTAAGAGCAAGTTTGGTTATCTGCACAGCCTGCTGGGGTCTGGTAAATATTCAAAGAATTTCGGGAAAAAAGACTACTCCAAATGAAGTGTACAGAGAAGTCTTCTCTGCAACCAGTGCTGCAACGAATGGGAGGTTCAGAAAGAACACGGTAGCGACATTCCTTACCGTTTTGTGCTACGACTGCGCTTATGAGTACGCTGGCCATACAGGTCAGCGCCTCGCGACGCGCTTGAGGCAGGCGCGCAGGTTGGCCACCTACGC